AGGGATTCCCATTTGAAGAAAATGTAAGCAGTAGGTGCACATGTATAGAATCAATAGATCTGTTGCCTTCTGGGCACCCCTTTGAACAAGTAGATTTGCATGTACCAGTACTTCTGTGCTTGGCAGTTTTCCCACAGTGTTTATTTGAAAACAAATTCAGATTATATCCTAGGTTACTTTTATATTGCTGCTGGTAACATGAGGAATGTATTTGGGTTTAGGAGAAAATGGCTTTCAAGTTTGCTTCTTGGAATAAATGTTCTTTTTCTATTCTAATTATTTTCTTAAACTTTCAATTTCATTAACCAGATGGTGCCCAGCTACCACTACAAACATTTCCAACCAGGAACAGAATAGATGGTCCCAGATAGAATGGGAAGAAAACATAAAGCAAAACTCAAATTCCTAAAAAAAAAAAAAAAAACCAGACTTACTGGACCAGTAGAGATTAGAGGAACCCATGAGACTATCGCCCTGGGATACTCTTTAAACTGGGAACTCAGACCACTCCCAGTAGTCACCTGTCAGCCAAAAGACAGAATGGCTCGTAAAGTAAATAGTATCTCCCATGAGTACCATACTCTCCTGAAGAACCATCCAAATGAGACCTAACAGAATGAGGACCATTTACCCTAGACCAAAGATGAGAAGGTAAGGGAGGACAAGGAAGCTAGATTAATGGAAAAAAAACAACCAGAATGGAAATATGAGAATGCCAACACATTATGAAAAGTATATGAAAAAAGAAAAAACAAAACTCACTGCCATCGACCCATCGAGTCGGTCCTGACTCATAGTGACCCCTCCTTGGGTTTCCAAGGCAGTATCACTATGGAAGTAGATTGCCCAACCTTCCTTCCAAGGAGTGGCTGGTGGGTTTGAACCGCCAGTCTTCTGATTAGCAGGCAAGTGCCTTAGGCACTATGCTACCAGAGCTCCCAGTAGTAAGTATAGAAATTGTTAAATGAGAACCTAATTCACTATGTAAAATTTCTCCAAAAACACAACAGAGTATTTAAAAACAAAAAACCTTGCTATTTCAGAGGATACAAATTTAACTAGAAACTGCAGGATTATTCCATTTTTTCCTTCCAGCCAGTGACTGCTACCATTAGAGAACTTTCTAACTCCATCTGTTAACTTGTGAAATCATGGACCCTTTTCCGTCTCTTGATAGGAAGAGATAATGCATGTGAGAAAACATCCTATATGTTTCTCCGAAAGGAGCTTCCTGTGCGGCTGGCAAACACGATGCGAGAAGTCAATCTTCTGCCGGACAACTTACTGAATCGGCCTTCCGTGGGATTGGTTCAGAGCTGGTAAGTAAATAGTGTGGCTGCAAATGGGTCAGTCTTCCTCCAGATGCACTGAACATTTGGCATTGGGACCATTCTCCGTAAAAGTACATGTACTGTCTGTCTGGGAATGAGTCATTCGGGATAGCTGGGTTTTCCTGGCAGTTAAAAGTTGCTGCTTTTATTACAGAACGGTTCAGTTTAAAATTGTGATGATGGAAAGTATGTCTAAACTGTACTAGACACTTTCCTTGACTTTACAAAGTCCACCTTTCTGGTTATAAATGTGATGTATGCTTATTGTAAAAAGGAAAAAAAAAGTCCAACATGTTGGAAAGTACAGAAAACTAGAAGGGAACAGCAATGCAGTAACCCGAGTGAGTGGGTCTGGAGTCCTTTGGATGGGAAGATGTTTGCTGCTTTTATGAAGTCTCAGTCTTAGAAGTTGCTTGAAGGCAGTGCCTCTTTGAAAAATTAAGTGTGACATTTAAAAAGGGAGACTCAAATTGGAAAACCAGTTACCTGGTGTGCTTCATCTGCCCTGTTACAAGTGTGACAAATCTTAACTGAGTGTAACTTAAATCAATTATGGCTCTGATGCACGTGGCCTATGCTATTGACTGGAGGAAGTTGGATTTGTAGGTAAACTAGCCACTGGGTAAGCAGGATGAGATCAGTGAGGGGCAGGATGGGAGAGCAGCCGGCCAGGGCATTTTTGGGAGGGATTTGCATCTAGTTGGGAACCATTTGCGTGTTTACTCTGTATTATCAAAGCAAGGTAGAAGTCACTGTGGAGAAACTGATTAATAAGTAAGACATGGCTATGGACTCAGAGGAGTTTGCAAGGCCAGATCTTACTGAAAAGCGCTATGGGGGCGCGGAGGCGATGGGGAGAAAGGCCAGCTGTGGCTGAGTCCTGCCCCTTGACGGGTGGGCAGCATTGGCAGGTGCGGGTGATGGAGAGCATTTTAGGGGACAGGAACACCGTGAACAAACAGAGGGGGAGTGGAACTATTATTTAGCTCGCATTTAGAGGATTAGTAGAGGCCAGGCTCCTGAAAGAATTGGACATTAACAGTCATTCATCAATTATATTAATTTTAATAAATTCTTAGGGCTAAGGGTGACTCCTTCGAGAAACACGGCAGTGGGTGGTCTTAGATACAGAATTCACTCTCTTTCCCACACAAGCAGCAGCTCCTCCCTGTGTGAAGCACATGGTCCTTGGAACCCAGGAGAGATCAAACAGTAACAGTGACCATGGCTTTGATATCAGAGTCAGTTGCATTCTTCCTCTAATTGATAGTTTGTTTCAGAAGGAGCAGAAAGTACTTCTTTGTATGAGACTTCTTTATCAGTTCAAGGTCATCATCAGAAATACTCCAGTAGAAACTATGTAATCACTACTGAGGGACACTGTGGTGGGGATTCTGGGTAGGCTAGAAGACCTTCACGTCCTCAGATTCTGGTAGCAGTGACAGTGAAACATTTACTGTGGCAAATAACTTATGGGAAAGCTACTTCAGGTACCACAGAGTGAATTGCTGGCATATTATAGACTCAAACACATTCCTATGTCAACTGTTCTTTGACTCCTCATCATTCCTTTTCCATATCCATTCCAAACATATGCATGCCATTTCTTCCTTTTCTTTCTTAAATATTACATTTTGAAATAATTTCACATGTAACAGAAAGGTTGCAAGAATAGAAGGGATTCCCACATATGTATACCCCCACCTAAATTCACTAATTGTTAACACGTGGCAACATTTGCTCTCTCATATTCTCTCGCTAGATAGATATGCATACATGTACATACATACCCATACATATAGTAACTATATACGTGTACATGATACACATGGTATTTTACCCCCTTGAATAATTTAGGTTAAGGGTAGCGTCGTACCCTTTTATCATTAAATACTTTTAATATTCATTTCCTTAGAGCAACTCTTAGATAACCACAGGATGATGATGAAATTTGGGAAATTTAATATTGATTTGGTAAGATTTTCTAATATGTAGAACTTATTTAGCAACCCACCCCCACCCCACGATTTAGGAATCCAGTTCAGGATCATGCATTCTGATGAGGTGTCATCTCCTTTTTCCTTTTTCAAGTGAGCCTGATGTGTAACAGGTGGTGAACCCCACATCATCCCCTCAGTCTGAATATATGCTTCTTGCTCTTTCTCTCTTTTTTTTTTTAACCTAGCTAGCCATTTTCCCTTCCCTCTCATCCCTGGTAAACAACAAAGAAAGTTTCCTTATATAAGTTTCCATATATAAATCTTTCCCTGACTTTTTACAGTAGTGAACTAATACAGTATTTGTCCTGCGGTGATTGATTTATTCACTCAGCATAATTTTCCCTAGTTCATCCACGTTATGCAATGTTTTGCAGATTCTACATCATTTTTTCGTGTTGCCTAGTATTCCATTATGTGTTTGAACCACAGTTTGGTTATCGATTGCTCTGTTGATAGGCACTTAGGTTGTTTCTGTCTCTTTGCTATTGTGAATAGTGCTACGATGAACATGAGTGTGCATATATCTGTTCATGTCCTGGCTCTCACTTCTTTAGGATATGTATCTGGTAATGGGATTGCTGGATCAAATGGTATTTCTGTTTCCAACTTTTTAAGGTATCACCATACTGATTTGCACAGTGGTTTTATCATTTTACAGTTCCATTAGCACTGAGAGTCCCAATCTTTCCACATCCTCGTCAGCATTTGTTATTTTCTGTCTTGTTGAAATTTGCTATCAGTGTTGGGGTAAGATGGTATCTCATGGTTGCTTTGATTTGCATCTCTCTAATGACTAATGATCATGAACTTTTCTTCATGTGTTTGTTGGCCACCTGAATATCTTCTTTGGTAAAGTGTCTGTTCATGTCTTCTGCCCATTTTTCAATTGGATTGTTTGTCTTCTTGATGCTGAGGTGTTGGAGTTTTCTAGAGGTGTTGGAGTTTTCTAGAAATTTTAGAGATAGCTCTCTTGTTAGATATGTCATTGCCGAATATTTTTCCCAATCTGTAGGTTCTCTTTTTACTCTTTTGGAGAAGTCTTTTTCTTTTGTTTTCTTCATGTGGGTGCATCAGCCTGGGTTGAGTGGTTTCTGTGTACATCTTGTTTACTATTGGGCTAAGAGGCAGCCCCTGGGAGTGAGTTTTATTCCAGGCCCAAAATGTTTCCCAGGGCCATAGTATTGGAGGTCTTACTAGACTCCATCCAACCAGTAATTCTGGTCATTATTGAGTGTTTGGATTTTGTCCCACGTTTTTCCTCCCATTCTATCCACAATCTCCAGATTTGATCCTTTACTGAGTGGTTGGCATTGGTAGCTGGGCACCATCTAGTTCTTCTGGTCTAGAGGGCCATCGTGTCCTAGGGCTGATTGCTTCCAAATGCCTTTGTTTTTTTGCCTCCTTCTTCGCTTCCAATGATAGGAGACCATTAGGTGCACCTTAGATGGTCACTTGAAAGCTTTTAAGACCCCAGTTGCTACTCACCAATGTAGGATGAGGAACAAAGCTTTTATATATTTTGTTGTGCCAATTGAGTCTGGTGTCCCCCAGTACTATGGTCCTGAGACAGTGGCTCTGTTGGATGTCTGTCCCACGGTGTTTGGGTGTCTGTGAGGGATTGCTCTATGTCTATCTTCTATTGTTTCTGTAAGGATTGTGGGTATTTTGTATCACTGGCAGCTGTGCAAGATTAGCCTGTGCTGAATCTATCCTTGGTCTAGAGTATACTCCTGTTCATTGACCCCCATCTGATCTTCTAAGGTGTTTATGTGTTTATCTGTACCCTGGTGTTTGTTGTTAATGGTAATGCAGTATTGTGAATATACTGATTGGTATTAATTAGCATCTGTTGTCTATTTCTTATATCTTAATGAAGTATTTTGATGCACAAAAGAATTTCAATTTTAGAAGGTCCCAGTCATCTAGTTTATCTTCCGCTTTTTGTGCATTTTGAGTTATTCTTGACATTCTATTTATGCCTTAAATTAGGGCCCCTAAGTTTACCTCTAAAAAGAGCCCTGGTGGTGCAGTGCCTAAGGCATTTGACTGCTAATCAGAAGGTTGGCAGTTCAAACCCACCAGCTGCTTTGTGGAAAGAAGACGGAACAATCTACTTCCATAAAGATATACTGCCTTGGAAACCCAGTGGGTGTCACTCTGAGTTGGAATCAACTTGATGGCAGTGGGAAGTTTGCTGCTATTTTTTTCTTTGATGAACTTTATATTTTAGGAGACTATCTCTTCCCCATTAATGGATTTTGACCCTTTGTCAAAGATCATTTGTCCACAGGTGGATGAATCTATTTCTGGGTTCTCAATTCTGTTCCATTGCTCTATATATCTGTCATTGTACCAACGCCAGGCTGTTTTGACAACTGTGGCTGTATAGTAGGTTTTGAGTGTGAGACCTCCTACTTTGTTGTTTTTCTTCAGTACTCCTTTGCTTATTTGAGGTCTCTTTCCTTTCCATATAAAATTAGTGATTGGTTTCTTCATGTTCTTAATGTTGATGGAATCTGGATTGGAATTGCACTGAATGTATAGATTGCTTTGGGTAGTATTGACATTTTCACAATGTTCAATCTTCCTATCCATGAACATGGTATGTTCTTCCATTTATGTAGATATCTTATAGTTTCTTGAAGTAGTGTTTTGTAGTTTTCTTTGTATAAATCTTTTGTGTTCCTGGTAAGGTTTAGTCCCAAATATTTTATCTTTTTGGTAGTAATTGTAAGTGGTATTGATTTCCTTTTCAGAGACCTCTTTGCTGGTGTAAAGGAATGCAGCTGATTTTTTTATGTTGATCTTGTATCCTGCCACTATGCTAAATATTTCAGTAAGTTCCAGTAGTTTTCTTGATAAGTCTCTTGGGTTTTCTATGTAACTTCTTCCTCTCTTGACTTTCAAGCAAGGAACCTCACCACAAACTGACGACTCCTCCATTTATGACATTGCTCTTTAAACTTTGCTCTTTTTTGTTTGTTTTTAAATTGTAGTTTGGATGAAACTTTACAGATTACATTAGTTTCCCATTCAACAATTTATACACATTATGTTTCATGACATTGGTTGCAATCCCCTCAATGTAACAGTGCCCTTTCTACTTCCTACCGGGGTTTCCTGTTTCCATTCATCCTTCTTTCCTGCCCTTCCTACCTTCTGAGCTTTGTTTTCTGGCAAATGCTGCCCTTTTGGTCTCATATGGTTGATTATACTGAGGAGTACATTTCTCCCTGGTGCTATTATTTGCTTTATAGGCCTGTCTTTTGTTTGGCTGAAAGTTGATCCCTGGGGGTAGGTTCAGTTCAGGATTGAAGGATGTTTGAGGGCCACAGTCTTGGGGGCTCCACCAGTCTCTACCAGACCAGTAAGTCTGGTCTTTTTATGATTTTGAACTTTGTTCTATGGTTTTTTTCTTTTTCTCTCTCTGTCCAGGACCTTCTATTGTGATCCCGATCAGAATAGTCAGTACTGGTAGATGTGCACCATCCAGTTCTTCTGGTCTCAGGGTAGTGGAGGCTGTAGTTCACGTTGTCCTGGTGGTGTGGTGGATAAGGCACTTGCTGCTAACCAGAAGGTCAGCGCTTTGAATGCACCAGCTGCTCTGTGGAAGGAAGATGGCGTGATCTACTTCCATAAAGATTTACAGCTTCAGAAACCTAATGGGGGTTGTTGTGAGTCAGAAATCACTTGATGGCAATGACTTGTTTTTTGGTATTAGTTCTTTGGACTGATTGTTTCTTTGAGTCTTTGATTGAGTCAATGGCTGAAAGCAAAGAATACCAGAAAGATGTTTACTTGTGTTTTATTGACTATGCAAAGGCATTTGATTTTATGGATCATAACAAATTTTGGATAACATTGAGAAGAATGGAGTTCCAGAGCACTTAATTGTGCTTATGAGGAACCTGTACATAGACTGGGAGGCTGTCATTCGAACAGAACAAGGAGATACTGCATGGTTTAAAATCAGGAAGGGAGTACATCAGGGTTGTATCCTTTCACCATACTTATTTAATGTGTAAGCTGAGCAAATAATCTAAGAAGCTGGACTATATGAAGAAGAACCCAGCATCAGGATTGGAGGAAGACTCATTAACAATCTGCGATATGCAGATGACACTAGCTTGCTTGCTGAAAGTGAAGATGACTTGAAGCACTTACTGATGAAGTTTAAAGACTACAGTCTGCAGTATGGATTATACCTCAGTATAAAGGAAATGAAACTCCTCATAACTGGAGCAATGAGCAGCATCATAATAAATGGAGAAAAGATTGAAGTTGTCAAAGATTTCATATTACTTGGTTCTACATTCAACACCAGTGGAAACAACAGCCAAGAAATCAGATGACATATTGCACTGGGCAAATCTGCTGCAAAAGACCTCTATAAAGTGCTGCAGAGCAAAGATGTCTCTGAAGACTAAGGTATGCCTAACCCAGGCTGTGGTGTTTTCAATTGCCTCATATGCATGTGAAAGTTGTACAATGAATGGGAAGACGGAAGAAGTGTTGGGAGCCCTGATGGTGTAGTGCCTAAGGCCTTTGACTTCTAACCAGAAGGCTGGCAGTTCAAACTCCTAGCCAATCCCCAGAAGGAAGACTAGGCAATCTACTTCTGTAGAGATACTGCCTCAGAAACCCAGGAAGGGGTTGCTATAAGTCGGAATCAACTCCACAGCAATGGGTTTGGTTTGGTTTTTGAAGAAGAGTTGATGCTTTTGAGTTGTGTTGGTGAAGAATACTGAAAGTACCATGGGCGGTCAGAAGAATGAACAAATCTGTCCTGGAAGAAGTGCAGCCAGAATGCTCCTTGGAAGTGAGAATGGCCAGACTTCGTGTCACCTACTTTGGTCATGTTGTCAGAAGGGACCATTCTCTGGAGAAGGATATCATGCTTGGTAAAGTGGAGGGTCAGCGAAAAAGAGGAAGGCCCTCAAGGAGATGGATCAACACAGTGGCTACCACAATGGGCTCAGCTATAGAAAGGATTGTGAGGCTGGTGCAGGACCAGGCAGTGTTTCGTTCTGTTGTACATGGGGTTACTATGAGTCAGAGCCAACTTGAGAGCACCTAACAATAACAAGAAGATTTTGGAACTTTGTCCCTGTATGTGCTACAATATCCTTGGGTATACTTACAGTACATACAAATACATATGTAGAAACCTATATGTACTCGTGAGTGTACTCCCTTTCACCTTCCTACATCTGTCTTGCATGTCTACCCGTGAACCTACTCATAGATGTTGTTTGTTATTACTATCATTACAGGATTATGTATGTAATAGTATTTACTGTTGTTGTCTTTTACTCTTATGCACCTACCAGTGATTTCCTTTGCCACTGGTCATATTATGCTACCCTCCACCTTATTGTATACTGCCTTTCCCTTCACCTAAGTTAATATGTGTCTACTGTCTAGTTAGTGATTTACCCTTCCTTCCCCTCCCACCCTTGGTAACCATCAGTGAATGTTTCTTTCTGTGTGTAAACCCTTTCTTGACTTTTTATAACAGTGGCCTTATATAATATTTGCCCTTTTGTGTTTGACTTATTTCACTCAGCATAATGTCCTCTAAGTTCATTCATGTCATGAGGTTTTAAACTTTGCCCTTTAAATGAATTATCCATTCCTGAAAGGCACGGGGATGCCTAACTCAAATTTTGCTCATGTGTGGCAGGGCAGAAGGCATCACAGGAGATTGCTGACTTTGGCCTCTGAGAGTAGTTTTACCTGACGATCTTAACAACATCTAATCCACAGCTTTATATGCACAAAGACTTTTTGAAAATTTACCTAGACATGAGCACACTTTTAGTATCACATGCATTGCCACAAATTTCATTCTTGTTTATGTATTGATATGAGAATAGTCATTTTTAGTAATTGGAGTGCCCTCTTCCATCCAAAGCTAGATGGTAGGATTAATTATAATTGGCTGTTAGAAATAATTAGCATAATGGGATAATTCTTTCAGGACATGTTCAGGCCCAAAGCAAAGATCACACATGTCTAAGTAATCGGAAGATCTGAATTCCCACCAGATTCAGCTGATACCGTCTTGACAGACCTGCTTCAATTGCATGCCTGTTGGAATCCCATTTTCCTTTGTTCTCTAGATCTTTATGTTGGATACTTTGTTTCTTAGACTGGTCTTGATTGAGACAGCTATTCTTCAACCAGTGGTTGGTTTGGAAGGCTTAGGAGGCATTCCTTCTCTATTATGTGTTGATGAAATTAGTTTAGCTCTGACAAGGAACCTACTTTTTTCTTAGTTTCTAAGTTCTTAGAGTGCACTTCAGTGGCACACAATACATCTTAATTCAAACTGTAGACTTGCTGTATCTGTTAAGATATATTTAGTTGCAAATAGAAAACCCAGCTAAATCTGACTTAACCAGTAAATTGAATCTAGCCATCAGGTAAGCTTTCAATGTTGGTTTGGTGCATACATTCATGAGGTTATCAAGACCCTGATTTCCATGGTATCATTCATTTTAAGGCTGGATTTCCTCCTGGTAGCAGAACAGCTGCAGCAGTTCCAGGCTTCACGTCCACATAGCAGACTATACAGAAGCAGAGCAAGTCGATTTCTTGCCCAGAGACCTCCAGGAAGTCTTCCCTCTTATTTTACAGGCCTGATTTGAAACATATGCCCATTCCTGAGCCAATCCTTGGGTTCAGGAGGAATGAGGAGCAGTGCTAAAGCTGAACTGCTCAAATAGTTTCTTTTAGAAGGGTCAGCATAAGGCTGGTTCCTATGCGAAGGAGGTTAAAGATGTCCCATATGTCCAGCTTTTCCAAACTGCTGTGCCATTCCATCCTCTTGGACATCAACTCCTCCTCCTCCCCTCAGGACTCTCCCTCCTGTCTTAGGGTTCTGTAGTTTGCTGTAACATCTCACAGAACTCACAAACTGCCAAGGAAATGGCTCACATAGGGGTGGAGGCTGAGAGGCTGGCACGTCCCAAATCCATGAGTAGGTCTGGAGGATTCTCCCCACTCACATGGTTGTGGAGGTTGGTGAACCCAAATCGGCAGGTCAGATGACTGGCTACTGTCTTAAGTCTAGGGGTGAGATGATGACGAACCAAACACAGGACAGGAGCAAGAGAGAGAACTTTCCCAGAATATTCACATATATACCCTCATGGAAACTAAGGGTGGTCACACTGTCCAGCAAGGTGGGACTCAAGGTGCATCCCACCCTAAACAGGCATAGAGACTAGGATTTACAATATATCACAAAATGGAGGGTGATAGCTACAAGGGCCATATTAAGGAATTCACTGCACTGCACGGACTACTGGGCTAATTAGTGGAATTAGTGGCAAGAGAAATGGGATTACCCACAAAAATATTAGGCAAACCCAGGAGCTTTGCTTGGAATTGGCTTCCCTTGGAACACTTCAGGTAAAAGATGTATGCTGGGTAGCAACTAACACAGTAACTCTTTTTTTTTTTTTTTTTAAGGTATATGCAGAGCTTCCTTGAACTTTTAGAATATGAAAATAAGAGCCCTGAGGATCCACAGGTCTTGGATAAGTAAGTATATTACCAAACTTACCTGAGAGTAAAAACATACAGGTAGAAAAGTTTCCATAAATGGAATTCATGCCATTAAGAACCAAGAAGTATAATTTGGATGAAAGCATTAGGTTTCTTTATGTATAATGATTCAGTATTGCATTTAAAAAAAACTTGAGTTTAAGATTTTAATATAGCCCAAAGAGAATAATGACAGTTCACATTGTGCTTTATGGATCTAATTCTTACTATGTTTACTCAAGGTGAACTGGGCACTCACTGGAAATGCTGTGGTGAATGTTCCACCTAGTGGTAGTTTTAAGAATGCTGTGTCCTCAGCATATAAAGGATTTTAACTATTCAGTCCTTTACAATGAAAAAATTTTCAATGGGATGTTACATTTGAACTCAGAAAAACTAATGGTTTTATTTTGGAGAAGCGGTAAGGCTTGTGCTTTTTTTAATATGTTGTTGTTGTTGTTATGTGCCGTCGAGTCAGACCCGACTCATAGTGACACCTCCTTGGGTTTCTGAGGCAGTATCACTATGGAAGTAGATTGCCCCATCTTCCTTCTGAGGAGTGGCTGGTGGGTTTG